TTTTACTGTATCATTTCTTCTTTTCTTCATTTTTCTCTTTTATTTCTTCATTCTTATTTCTTCATTTTTTTTTCTTTATTCTTCTTTTTTTAACTCCTTCATTATCCTTTCTTCTTTCTAACTTCCTTCTGCTCTTTTTTCTTCCGGTCTGTCTTCATTTTTCTCTTTTCTTTTACTGTATCATTCTTCTTTTTTCTTTTTCTCTCTTTTATTTCTTCATTCTTATTTCTTCATTTTTCTTTTTCTTCTTTTTTTAACTCCTTCATTATCCTTTCTTCTTTCTAACTTCCTTCTGCTCTTTTCTTCGGTCTGTCTTCTTTTCTCTTTCTTTTTACTGTATCATTCTTCTTTCTTCATTTTTTTTCTCTCTTTTATTTCTTCATTCTTATTTCTTCATTTTCTTTTTATTCTTCTTTTTTTTTCCTTCATTATCCTTTCTTCTTTCTAACTTCCTTCTGCTCTTTTTCTTCCGGTCTGTCTTCATTTTCTCTTTCTTTTACTGTATCATTCTTCTTTCTTCATTTTTCTCTCTTTTATTTCTTCATTCTTATTTCTTCATTTTTCTTTATTCTTCTTTTTTTAACTCCTTCATTATCCTTTCTTCTTTCTAACTTCCTTCTGCTCTTTTTCTTCCGGTCTGTCTTCATTTTCTCTTTCTTTTACTGTATCATTCTTCTTTCTTCATTTTTCTCTCTTTTATTTCTTCATTCTTATTTCTTCATTTTTCTTTATTCTTCTTTTTTTAACTCCTTCATTATCCTTTCTTCTTTCTAACTTCCTTCTGCTCTTTTTCCTCCGGTCTGTCTTCATTTTCTCTTTCTTTTTACTGTATCATTCTTCTTTCTTCATTTTTTTCTCTTTTATTTCTTCATTCTTATTTCTTCTTTTTTCTTTTATTCTTCTTTTTTAACTCCTTCATTATCTTTTCTTCTTTCTAACTTCCTTCTGCTTTTTTTCTTCCGGTCTGTCTTCATTTTTCTTTTTTTTTTTACTGTATCATTCTTCTTTCTTCATTTTCTCTCTTTTATTTCTTCATTCTTATTTCTTCATTTTTCTTTATTCTTTTTTTTTTAACTCCTTCATTATCCTTTTTCTTCTTTCTAACTTCCTTCTGCTCTTTTTCTTCCGGTCTGTCTTCATTTTCTCTTTCTTTTACTGTATCATTCTTCTTTCTTCATTTTTTCTCTTTTATTTCTTCATTTCTTATTTCTTCCCTTTTTTCTTTATTCTTCTTTTTTTAACTCCTTCATTATCCTTTCTTCTTTCTAACTTCCTTCTGCTCTTTTTCCTCCGGTCTGTCTTCATTTTCTCTTTCTTTTACTGTATCATTCTTCTTTCTTCATTTTTCTCTCTTTTATTTCTTCATTCTTATTTCTTCATTTTTTTTATTCTTCTTTTTTTAACTCTTTCATTATCCTTTCTTCTTTCTAACTTCCTTCTGCTCTTTTTCCTCCGGTCTGTCTTCATTTTCTCTTTCTTTTACTGTATCAACCTTCTTTTTTCATTTTTCTCTCTTTTATTTCTTCATTCTTGTTTCTTCATTTTTTTCTTTCTTCTTCTTTTTTTAACTCCTTCATTATCCTTTCTTCTTTTTTCTAACTTCCTTCTTTCTTTTTTTCCTCCGGTCTGTCTTCATTTTTCTTTCTTTTTTTACTGTATCATTCTTCTTTCTTCTTTTTCTCTCTTTTATTTCTTCATTCTTATTTCTTCATTTTTCTTTATTCTTCTTTTTTTAACTCCTTCATTATCCTTTCTTCTTTCTAACTTCCTTCTCTTTTTTCCTCCGGTCTGTCTTCATTTTCTCTTTTTTTTTACTGTATCATTCTTCTTTCTTCTTTTTTTCTCTCTTTTATTTCTTCTTTCTTATTTCTTCATTTTTTTCTTTATTCTTCTTTTTTTAACTCTTTCATTATCCTTTCTTCTTTCTAACTTCCTTCTGCTCTTTTTTTCCTCCGGTCTGTCTTCATTTTTCTTTCTTTTACTGTATCAATCTTCTTTTTTTCATTTTTCTCTCTTTTTATTTCTTCATTCTTGTATCTTCATTTTCTTTCTTTCTTCTTCTTTTTTAACTCCTTCATTATCCTTTCTTCTTTTTTTCTCCTTCCTTCTGCTTTTTTTCTTCCGGTCTGTCTTCATTTTTTCTTTCTTTTTACTGTATCATTCTTCTTTCTTCTTTTTTTCTCTCTTTTATTTCTTCATTCTTGTTTCTTCATTTTTCTTTATTCTTCTTTTTTTAACTCTTTCATTATCCTTTCTTCTTTCTAACTTCCTTCTGCTCTTTTTCCTCCGGTCTGTCTTCATTTTCTCTTTCTTTTACTGTATCAATCTTCTTTTTTCATTTTTCTCTCTTTTATTTCTTCATTCTTGTATCTTCATTTTCTCTTTCTTCTTCTTTTTTTAACTCCTTCATTATCCTTTCTTCTTTCTAACTTCCTTCTGCTCTTTTTCTTCCGGTCTGTCTTCATTTTCTCTTTCTTTTACTGTATCATTCTTCTTTCTTCATTTTTTCTCTTTTTATTTCTTCATTCTTATTTCTTTTTTTCTTTTATTCTTCTTTTTTAACTCTTTCATTATCCTTTCTTTTTTCTAACTTCCTTCTGCTTTTTTTCCTCCGGTCTGTCTTCATTTTTCTCTTTCTTTTACTGTATCAATCTTCTTTTTTTTTTTCTCTCTTTTATTTCTTCATTCTTGTATCTTCATTTTTCTTTCTTCTTTTTTTTTAACTCCTTCATTATCCTTTCTTCTTTCTAACTTCCTTCTGCTCTTTTCTTCCGGTCTGTCTTCATTTTCTCTTTCTTTTTACTGTATCATTCTTCTTTCTTCTTTTTTTCTCTCTTTTATTTCTTCATTCTTGTTTCTTCATTTTCTCTTTCTTGTTCTTTTTTTAACTCCTTCATTATCCTTTCTTCTTTCTAACATCCTTCTGCTCTTTTTCCTCCGGTCTGTCTTCATTTTCTCTTTCTTTTACTGTATCAATCTTCTTTTTCATTTTTTTCTCTTTTATTTCTTCATTCTTGTATCTTTTTTTCTCTTTCTTCTTCTTTTTTTAACTCCTTCATTATCCTTTCTTCTTTCTAACTTCCTTCTGCTCTTTTCCTCCAGTTCTTCTGTCTTTTACTGTTTTTTTCTTTTTTTTTACTTTCTTCATTCTTCTTTCTTCATTTTCTTTATTCTCTTTTTATTTCTTCATTCTTATTTCTTCATTTTCTCTTTTTTCTTTTTTTTTTCATTTCCTTCATTTTCTTTTTCTTCTTTTCTTCTTCCTTCTCTCTTTTTTTCTTCTTTATTTTCATTTTCTTTATTCTTCTTTTCTGTTTCATTCTTCTTTCTTTTCTTTTTTTTTCTCTTTTCTTTCTTTTTTTTTCTTCTTTTCTTTCTCTCTTTTTTTTCTTTCTTCATTTTCTTTTTTTTTTCCTTCCTTCATTATCCTTTCTTCTTTCTTTTCCTTCTGCTCTTTTTTCCTCCGGTCTGTCTTCATTTTTCTTTCTTTTTACTGTATCATTCTTCTTTTTTTCATTTTCTCTCTTTTATTTCTTCATTCTTATTTCTTCATTTTTTTTTTTATTCTTCTTTTTTTAACTCCTTCATTTCCTTTCTTCTTTTTTCAAGTCTTCTTTCTTTTCTTTTTCCTCCGGTCTGTCTTCATTTTTCTTTTTTTTTCTTCTCTTTTTCTTCATTCTTCTTTCTTTTTTTTTTTCTTTTATTTCTTCTTTCTTATTTCTTTTTTCATTTTTCTTTATTCTTTTTTTTTAACTCCTTCATTTTCCTTTCATTTTTTCTCTTTCTTCTTCCTTTATTTCTTCATTTTCTTTTTATTCTTTTTCCTCCTTCCGGTCTGTCTTCTTTTTCTTCCTTTTTTTACTGTATCATTCTTCATTTTCTTTCATTTTTTCTTTCTTTATTTCTTCATTCTTATTTCTTCATTTTTCATTTTTATTCTTTTTTTAACTCCTTCATTATCCTTTCTTCTTTCTAACTTCCTTCTGCTCTTTTTCCTCCGGTCTGTCTTCATTTTCTCTTTCTTTTTACTGTATCATTCTTCTTTCTTCATTTTCTCTCTTTCATTTCTTCATTCTTATTTCTTCATTTTTCTTTATTCTTTTTTTTAACTCCTTCATTATCCTTTCTTCTTTCTAACTTCCTTCTGCTCTTTTTTTTTCCTCGGTCTGTCTTCATTTTTCTGAATTTTCTTTTACTGTATCATTCTTCTTTCTTCATTTTTCTCTCTTTTATTTCTTCATTCTTATTTCTTCATTTTTTTTTTTCTTTTTTAATTCTTCTTTTTTAACTCCTTCATTATCTCTTTTCTTCTTTCTTTCTTCCTTTCTGCTCTTTTTCATTTTCCGGTCTCTCTTCTTCTTTTTCTCTTTCTTTTTTCTTCTTTGTATCATTCTTCTTTCTTCATTTTCTTTCTCTTTTATTTCATTTTCATTCTTATTTCTTTCTTTTTTCTTTTTTTCTTTTTTCTTTTTCTTTTTTCTTTTTTTTAACTCCTTCATTATCCTTTCTTCTTTCTCTTTTCCTTCTGCTCTTTTTTCCTCCGGTCTGTCTTCATTTTTCTTTTTTTTTACTGTATCATTCTTCTTTCTTCATTTTTCTCTCTTTTATTTCTTCATTCTTATTTTTTCATTTTTCTTTATTCTTCTTTTTTAACTCTTTCATTATCCTTTCTTCTTTCTTCTTTCTTTTTCCTTCTTTCTTCTTTTTCTTTCCGGTCTTTTCTTCTTCATTTTTCTCTTTCTTTTTTCTTTTTCATCATTTTTTCTTCATTCTTTTTTTTCACTTTTTTCTCTTTCTTCTTTTTTCCTTTTTTTTTTCATTCTTATTTCATTTTCTTTTTCTTTTTATTCTTCTTTTTTTTTCTTTCTTTTTTTCATTATCCTTTTTTCTTTTTTCTTCCTTCTTCATTTCTTTTTTCCTTCCTTCTGTTTTTTTCGGTTTTTTTATTTTCTTTTTTACTGTATCATTCTTCTTCTTTCTTTTTTTCTCTCTTTTTTTTCATGATTCTTATTTTTCTTTCTTTTTTTTCATTTTTTTCTTTCTTTTTTTTTTTTTCCTCCGGTCATTCTTCATTTTTTCTTTTTTTTCTCATTTTTTTTTTTTTTCTTTTTTTTCTCTTTTTTCTTTCTTTTTTATTTCATTTTTTCTTTTTTTCTTTTTTTTCTTTTTCTTTTCTTCTTTTTATTATTCTTTTTTCTTCTGTCTTCTTCTTTTTTTCTTTTTTCTTTATTTCTTCATTTTCTTTCTTTTTTTTTCTCTTTTTTTTTCTTTCTTTCTTCTTTCTTTTTTTTTTTCTTTTTTTTCTTCATTCTTTTCTTTCTTCATTTTTTTTTTTCTTTCTTTTTAACTTCCTTCATTTCTTTTCTTTTTTTTTTCCTTCTTTTTTTTTTCCTCCTTTCTGTCTTCATTTTCTCTTTCTTTTTTACTGTATCATTCTTCTTTCTTTTTTTTCTCTCTTTTATTTCTTCATTCTTCTTTTCTTCATTTTCTCTTTTATTCTTCTTTTTTAACTCCTTCATTATCCTTTCTTCTTTCTAACTTCCTTCTGCTCTTTTTCCTCCGGTCTGTCTTCTTTTTTTCTTTCTTTTTACTGTATCATTCTTCTTTTTCATTTTTCTCTCTTTTATTTCTTCATTCTTATTTCTTCATTTTTTTATTTTTTTTTTTAACTCTTTCATCCTTTCTTTCTTTTCTTTTCCTTTTCTTCATTTTCTCTTTCTTTTTTTCTCCGGTCCTTCTTCATTTTCTTTTTTTTCATTTTTTTTCTGTATTTTCTTTTTTCTTCTTTTTTTTTTCATTTTCTCTTTTTATTTCTTTTTTTTTTTTTCTTCATTTTTCTTTATTCTTCTTTTTTTTTTTCTCTTTCATTTCTTCTTTCTTCTTTCTCTTTTTCTTCTTTTTTCCTTCTCCTTTTTTTCCTTCCGGTCTGTCTTCATTTTCTCTTTCTTTTTTACTGTATCATTCTTCTTTCTTCATTTTTCTCTCTTTTATTTCTTCATTCTTATTTCTTCATTTTCTTTATTCTTCTTTTTTTTTAACTCCTTCATTATCCTTTCTTCTTTCTTTTCTTCTGCTTTTTTTTCCTCCGGTCTGTCTTCATTTTCTCTTTCTTTTTACTGTATCATTCTTCTTTTCTTCATTTTTTCTCTTTTATTTCTTCATTCTTATTTTGTTTTTTTTTTTTCTTTTTTCTTCTTTTTTTAACTTCTTTCATTATCCTTTCTTCTTTCTTTCTTCCTTCTGTCTTCTTTTTCCTCCGGTCTGTCTTCATTTTCTTTTTCTTTTTTACTGTATCATTTCTTCTTTCTTCATTTTTCTCTCTTTTATTTCTTCATTCTTATTTTCTTTTTTTTTTTTTTATTCTTCTTTTTTTTTAACTCTTTCATTCTTGTTTCTTCATTTTTCTTTCTTTTCTAACTCCTTCATTTCCTTTCTTCTTTTTCTTCCTTCTCTCTTTTCCGGTCTGTCTTCATTTTTCTTTCTTTTTACTGTATCATTCTTCTTTCTTCATTTTTCTCTCTTTTATTTCTTCATTCTTATTTCTTCATTTTCTTTATTCTTCTTTTTTTAACTCCTTCATTATCCTTTCTTCTTTTCTTCCTTCCTTCTGCTCTTTTTTCTTCCTTTTCTGTCTTCATTTTCTTCATTTTCTCTTTTACTGTATCATTCTTCTTTCTTCATTTTTTTCTCTTTTATTTCTTCATTCTTATTTCATCATTTTTCATTTATTCTTTCTTTTTTTTTAATTCTTCTTTCTTCATTATCCTTTCTTCATTTTCTTTCTTCTTTCTTTCTGCTTTCATTTTCCTCCGGTCTTTCTTCATTTTCTTTTTTCTTTCATTTTTTACTTTTCTTTCTTCTTTCTTCATTTTTTCTCTCTTTTATTTCTTCATTCTTATTTCTTCATTTTTTTTTTCTTCTTCTTTTTTTAACTCCTTCATTATCCTTTCTTCTTTCTAACTTCCTTCTGCTTTTTTCTTCCGGTCTGTCTTCATTTTCTCTTTCTTTTTACTGTATCATTCTTCTTTCTTCATTTTTTCTCTTTTATTTCTTCATTCTTATTTCTTCATTTTTCTTTATTCTTTTTTTAACTCTTTTCATTATCCTTTCTTTTTTTCTAACTTCCTTCTGCTCTTTTTCCTCCGGTCTGTCTTCATTTTCTTTTTCTTTTTACTGTTCTTTCTTCTTTTTCATTTTTCTCTTTTTTCTTTCTTCATTCTTTTTTTTATTTTTCTTCATTTTTCTTTTTTTTCTTCTTTTTCCTTTCTTCTTTCCTTCATTTTTCCTCCGGTCTTCTTTCTTTTCTCTTTTTTTTTCCTTCTTCTTCTTTTTCATTTTCTCTCTTCATTTTTTTTTTCTTTTTCTCATTTTCTTTTCTTCTTCTTTTTTTTTTCCTTTCATCTTCTTTATTAACTTCCTTCATTTCTTCTTCCTTTCTTTCTTCATTTTCTCTTTTTTTTACTTCATTTTCTTTTTTCATTTTTCTCTCTTTTTTTTCTTCATTCTTCTTTCTTCATTTTCTCTTTCTTTCTTTTTTTAACTCCTTCATTTCCTTTCTTCTTTCTTTCATTTTCATTTTCTTTTTTTTTTCTTTTACTGTATCATTCTTCTTTTTCATTTTTTCTTTTATTTCTTCATTCTTTTTTTCTTCATTTTCTCTTTCTTCTTCTTTTTTTAACTCCTTCATTATCCTTTCTTCTTTTTCAACTTCCTTCTGCTCTTTTTTCCTCCGGTCTGTCTTCATTTTCTCTTTCTTTTACTGTATCATTTCTTCTTTCTTTCATTTTTCTCTCTTTTATTTCTTCATTCTTATTTCTTTTTTTTCTTTATTCTTCTTTTTTAACTCCTTCATTATCCTTTCTTCTTTCTAACTTCCATCTGCTCTTTTTCCTCCGGTCTGTCTTCATTTTCTTCTTTTTTTACTGTATCATTCTTCTTTCTTCATTTTTTCTCTCTTTTATTTCTTCATTCTTTTTCTTCATTTTTCTTTATTCTTCTTTTTTTAACTCCTTCATTATCCTTTCTTCTTTCTAACTTCCTTCTGCTCTTTTTTTCCTCCGGTCTGTCTTCATTTTCTCTTTCTTTTTTACTGTATCATTCTTCTTTTTCATTTTCTCTTATTTTTATTTCTTCATTCTTATTTCTTCATTTTCTCTTTCTTCTTCTTTTTTTAACTCCTTCATTATCCTTTCTTCTTTCTAACTTCCTTCTGCTCTTTTTCCTCCGGTCTGTCTTCATTTTCTCTTTCTTTTACTGTATCATTCTTCTTTCTTCATTTTTCTCTCTTTTATTTCTTCATTCTTATTTCTTTTTTTTTTTTATTCTTTTTTTTAACTCCTTCATTATCCTTTCTTTCTTTCTAACTTCCTTCTGCTGTTTTTTCCTCCGGTCTGTCTTCATTTTCTCTTTCTTTTTACTGTATCATTCTTCTTTCTTCATTTTTTTCTCTTTTTATTTCTTCATTCTTATTTCTTCATTTTTCTTTATTCTTTTTTTTAACTCCTTCATTATCTTTTCTTCTTTCTAACTTCCTTCTGCTCTTTTTCCTCCGGTCTGTCTTCATTTTCTCTTTCTTTTTACTGTATCATTCTTCTTTCTTCATTTTTTCTCTCTTTTATTTCTTCATTCTTATTTCTTCATTTTTTTCTTTATTCTTCTTTTTTTTAACTCCTTCATTATCCTTTCTTTTTCTAACTTCCTTCTGCTCTTTTTTCCTCCGGTCTGTCTTCATTTTCTCTTTCTTTTTACTGTATCATTCTTCTTTCTTCATTTTTCTCTCTTTTATTTCTTCATTCTTATTTCTTCATTTTTCTTTTTATTCTTTTTTTTAACTCCTTCATTATCCTTTCTTCTTTCTAACTTCCTTCTGCTTTTTTCCTCCGGTCTGTCTTCATTTTTCTCTTTTCTTTTACTGTATCATTCTTCTTTTCTTCATTTTTTCTCTCTTTTATTTTTCATTCTTATTTCTTCATTTTTCTTTATTCTTCTTTTTTTTAACTCCTTTCATTATCCTTTCTTCTTTCTAACTTCCTTCTGCTCTTTTTCCTCCGGTCTGTCTTTTTTTTCTCTTTTTTTTACTGTATCATTCTTCTTTTTCTTCATTTTTTCTCTTTTATTTCTTCATTCTTATTTCTTCATTTTCTTTATTCTTCTTTTTTTTAACTCTTTCATTATCCTTTTTCTTCTTTCTAACTTCCTTCTGCTCTTTTCCTCCGGTCTGTCTTCATTTTTCTCTTTCTTTTTACTGTATCATTCTTCTTTCTTCATTTTTTCTCTCTTTTATTTCTTCATTCTTATTTCTTCATTTTCTTTATTCTTCTTTTTTTAACTCCTTCATTATCCTTTCTTCTTTCTAACTTCCTTCTGCTCTTTTTTCCTCCGGTCTGTCTTCATTTTCTCTTTCTTTTTACTGTATCATTCTTCTTTCTTCTTTTTTTTTTTTCTTTTATTTTTATTTTTCTTCATTCTTATTTCTTCATTATCCTTTTTTTTCTTTTATTCTTCTTTTTTTAACTCTCTTCATTATCCTTTCTTTTCTTTCTCTTCTTCCTTCTGCTCTCTTTTTCCTCCGGTCTGTCTTCATTTTTTCTTTTCTTTTTACTCCTTATCATTCTTCTTTTTTCATTTTTTCTCTTTTATTTCTTCATTTTTATCATTTTTCTTTCTTCTCTTCATTTTTTTCTTTTTTTTCTTCATTCTTATTTCTTCATTTTTTTTTTTTCTTTTTTTATCCTTTCTTTTTTTAACTTCCTTCTGCTCTTTTTTCCGGTCTGTCTTCATTTTCTTTCTTTTACTGTATCATTCTTTTCTTTCTTTTTTTTCTTTCTTATTCTTATTTCTTCATTTTTCTTTTCTTCTTCTTTTTTTTAACTCCTTCATTATCCTTTCTTCTTTCTCTTCCTTCTTCTTTTTTCCTTGGTCTGTTTCATTTTCTTTTCTTTTACTGTATCATTCTTCTTTTCTTCATTTTTTTCTCTCTTTTATTTCTTCATTCTTGTTTCTTCATTTTCTCTTTCTTCTTCTTTTTTTAACTCCTTCATTATCCTTTCTTCTTTCTAACTTCCTTCTGCTCTTTTTCCTCCGGTCTGTCTTCATTTTCTCTTTCTTTTACTGTATCATTCTTCTTTCTTCATTTTTCTCTCTTTTATTTCTTCATTCTTATTTCTTCATTTTTCTTTATTCTTCTTTTTTTAACTCCTTCATTATCCTTTCTTCTTTCTAACTTCCTTCTGCTCTTTTTCCTCCGGTCTGTCTTCATTTTCTCTTTCTTTTACTGTATCATTCTTCTTTCTTCATTTTTCTCTCTTTTATTTCTTCATTCTTATTTCTTCATTTTTTTTTTTTCTTCTTTTTTTTAACTCCTTCATTATCCTTTCTTCTTTCTAACTTCCTTCTGCTCTTTTTCCTCCGGTCTGTCTTCATTTTCTCTTTCTTTTACTGTATCATTCTTCTTTCTTCATTTTTCTCTCTTTTATTTCTTCATTCTTATTTCATCATTTTTCTTTATTCT